ACTGTGTCAGTCCATCTCGTTGAGGGTCTTCCTCTTTTTCACTGACCCTCTACTTTACCAAGCATGATGTCCTTCTCCAGGGACTGATCTCTCCTGATAACATGTCCAAAGTATGTGAGATGTAGTCTTGCCATCCTTGCTTCTAAGGAGCATTCTGGTTGTACTTCTTCCAAGACAGATTTGTTCGTTCTTTTGGCCGTCTATAGTATATCAATATTCTTTGCCAACAACACAGTTCAAAGGCGTCAATTCTTCTTCGGTCTTCCTTATTCATTGCCCAGCTTTCGCGTACATATGATGCGACTGAAAACACCATGGCTTGGGTCAGGCGCACCTTCGTCTTCAAGGTGATCTCTTTGCTTTTCAACACATTATAGAAGCCTTTTGCAGCAGATTTGCCCAATGCAATGCGTCTTTTGATTTCTTGACTGCTGCTTCCATGGGTGTTGACTGCGAATCCAAGTAAAATGAAATCCTTGACAACTTCAATCTTCTCTCCGTTTATCATGATGTTGCTTATTGGTCCAGTTGTGAGGATTTTTGTTTTCTTTATGTTGAGGTGGAATCCATACCGAAGACTGTGGTCTTTGATCTTCATCAGTAAGTGCTTCAAGTCCTCTTCACTTTCAGCAAGCAAGGTTGTGTCATCTGCATAACGTAGGTCGTTAATGAGTCTTCCTCCAATCCTGATGTTCTATTCTTCTTCATATAGTCCAGCTTCTCGGATTATTTGCTCAGCATACAGATTGCATAAGTATGGTGAAAGAATGCAATCCTGATGCACACCTTTCTTGACTTTAAAGTACACAGTAGCCCCTTGTTCTGTCCGAACAACTGCCTCTTGATCTATGTACAGGTTCCTCATGAGCACAATTAAGTGTTCTGGAATTCCCATTCTTCACAATGCTATCCATAATTTGCTATGATCCACACAGTCGAATGCTTTTGCATAGTCAATAAAACACAGGTAACATCTTTCTGGTATTCTCTGCTTTTGGCCAGGATCCATCTGACATCAGCAAGGATATCCCTGTTTCCCCATCCTCTTCTGAATCCAGCCTGAACTTCTGGCAGTTCCCTGTTGACATACTGCTGCAGCCGCTTTTGAATGATCTTCAGCAAAATTTTACTTGTGTCTAGTATTAATGATACTGTTTGATAATTTCCACATTCGGTTGGATCGCCTTTCTTGGGAATAGGCATAAATATGGATCTCTTCCAGATAGTTGGCCACGTAGCTGTCTTCCAGATTTCTTGGCATAGACGAGTGAGCACTTCCAGGGCTGCTTCCATTTGTTGAAACATCTCAGTTGGTATTCCGTCAATTCCTGGAGCCTTGTTTTTCGCCAGTGCTTTCAGCACAGCTTGGACCTCTTCCTTCAGCACCATTAGCTCCTGATCATATACTACTTCTTGAAATGGTTGAACATCGACCAATTCTTTTTGGTGTAATGACTCTGTATTCCTTCCATCTTCTTTTGATGCTTCCTGTGTCGTTTAATATTTTCCCCATAGAATCCTTCACTATTGCAACTCCAGGCTTGAATTTTTTCTTCAGTTCTTTCAGCTTGAGAAATGCCAAGCGTGTTCTTCCCCTTTGGTTTTCTATCTTCAGCTCTTTGCACATGTCATCATAATACTTTACTTTGTCTTCTCAAGCAGCCCTTTGAAATCTTCTGTTCAGTTCTGTTACTTCGTTTCTTCCCTTTGCTTTAGCTACTCGATGTTCAAGAGCAAGTTTCAGAGTCTCTTCTGATATCCATTTTGGTCTTTTCTTTCTTTCCTGTCTTTTGAATGACCTCTTGCTTTCTTCATGTATGATGTCCTTGATGTCATTCCACAACTCATCTGGTCTTCGGTCATTAGCGTTCAATGCGTCAAATCTATTCTTGAGATGGTCTCTAAATTCAGGTGGGATATACTCAAAGTTGTACTTTGGCTCTCGTGGACTTGTTCTAATTTTTTTCAGTTTCCGCTTGAACTTGCATATGAGCAACTGATGGTCTGTTCCACAGTCAACCCCTGGCCTTGTTCTGACTGATGATATTGAGCTTTTCCATCACCTCTTTCCACAGATGTAGTCAGTTTGATTCCCATGTATTCCATCTGGCGAGGCCCATGTGTATAGTCACCATTTATGTTGATGAAAAAAGGTATTTGCAATGAAAAAGTCGTTGGTCTTGCAAAATCCTATCATGGGATCTCCGGCATCGTTTCTATCACCAAGGCCATATTTTCCAACTACTAATCCTTCTTGTTTCCAACTTTTGTGTTCCAATCACCTGTAATTATCAATACATCCTGATTGCATGTTCGATCAATTTCACACTGCAACAGGTGGTAAAAATCTTTAATTTCTTCATCTTTGGCCTTAGTGGTTGGTGCGTAAATTTGAATAATAGTGGTATTAACTGGTCTTCCTTGTAGGCATATGGATATTATTCTATCACTGACAGCGTTGTACATCAGGATAGATCTTGAAATGTTCTTTTTGACGATGAATGCAGTGCCATTCCTTTTCAAGTTGTCATTCCTGGCATAGTAGATCACATGATTGTCTGATGCAAAATAGCCAATACCAGCCCATTTCCGCTCACTAATGCCTAGGATATCGATGTTTTAGCATTCCATTTCATTCTTGACGATTTCCATTTTTCCTAGATTCATACTTTGTACATTCCACGTGCTGATTATTAACGGATGTTTGCAGCTGTTTCTTCTCACTTTGAGTCATGCCACATCAGCAAATGAAGGTCCCGAAAGCTTGACTCCATTCACGTCATTATGGTCGACTCTACACTGAGGAGACAGCTCTTCCCCAGTCCTCTTTTGAGTGCCTTCCAATCTGGGGGCTTCTCTTCCAGCACTATATCAGACAATGTTCCGCTGCTTTTCATAAGGTTTTCACTGGCTAATCTTTTCAGCAGTAGACCACTAGGTCCTTCTTCCTAGTCTGTCTTAGTCTGGAAGCTCAGCTGAAACCTGTCCACCGTGGGTAACCCTGCTGGTATGTGAAATACCGGTGGCATAGCTTCCAGCTTCACAGCAACACGCAAGCCCCCACAGAACGACAAACTGACGCAGAGCGATCAGGGCTCTAGGCATTAAAAATTATAAATTTGTGAATATACAGCACATATTAACATTTAATAAGATGCCCTTTAGTCTCGTGAGTAACAGAACTCTGTTTTCATGAAACAAAACATTATTTTATTTCACACTTCTAACAGCCCGGCGTGGAAGAGGCGGACCGAAGCCCAAGACTCAAGGCCGACCACTGGGCGCCCCCTACCGGACGCCGGGCGCCCCTACGCTCTGTCGGCCCCGCGGCGTGGAGTCACCCGAAAGCGGCCTCCCACTTCTCTTCCGTCGGCCGCGTTTCTCATCCCCGTGTCGGATTCCGAGCTGACCCCAACCAGCCCTAGATTGCTGGCCCCGGACGCCCTCGCTGGGGGGGCAGCCCTATTCCTGTGCGGGCGAACAACCCTGTCCGGCTCCTGGCAGGCGGAACCAGAGGCGCGGATGCGCTTTCCAGCCGGTCGCGGAGAGAAGAGCACTTCCGGGGATTGCCGCGCGTGTTTTCCTGGCGCGTGGGGGTCGCTTCCGGGGCCGGAGGTATGTTTTTTTCCGGCCGCTGAGTGAGTGCGGGGCTGGCCTGGGCGGGAGCTGTGTTGACGGGACACGTCGGGGCCAGGACGAGAAGGGACACCCGTCGAAGGCGCGCAGGGACCCGGGCAGGCCGGGGTCGCGCTGGGGCAGCGAGATCGGGGCGGCCGGGGGTCTCCGCTGTGCCGCGGCCAGAGCGCTGGACGCCGCCTTTTAGGGTCACCGCTGGGGACCGTGGGCGGTGCCAGGATGGTGAAGGCCAAGGTCCCGGCCCCCACGCGCGCCCCGAGCAGCCCCGCGGCCAAACCAGGGCTTGTCAAGAAGCCAAATAGGAAGAAAAACAAGAAGGGACAGTTCTGGAAAAACAAAGCTCGAGAAGTCGGCAAGAGAGCGGAGAGCGGCCCCAGCCTTGTGGTGCGACCTCCAAAGGCACCCGAGGACTTTTCTCAGAACTGGAAGGCGCTGCAGGAGGTAAGACTCCGAGGGCCCGGCGAGCCGGGGGTGGGGACCCGCCACGCGGCTGTGTCCCCAGACTTTGGTCTGGTCGCCTCAGAACGCGAGAAGGAAGAGACCTGGCGACCCCAGAAGGGATCTGTGGGGGCACATTTCAGTGACACCTTTGTAAACAGGCGGTCACGGGAAAAGTGGCGTCTTGGGGGAAGCTGCAAGCTTTTGGGTAAGGAACTAACAGAAATGTGGCGTAGAGAATCCGTTTAGCCGTCCATAATCATTAACCTCTCGTTTGTTGAGCCGTTAGAACACACACACACTCTTCCATGTGACTTCATGTGCTTTCTCTGGTTTAATCCTCATTAACAACACCGTGACGTGGGTGCTTTCATCATCTCCATTTCACGGGTGAGGAAATGGCCCCAGAAAGGTTAAATAAATTATCCAGGATTGCTGCTGAAAGCCACAAGACTGGGACTCCAACCCAGCCGGGCTGGCCCTGGAGCGCGTCCATGCTCCCGCCACCGTCTTGCGCCTACCGCCTGTCTTGGCAGTAGCGGTCGTTGCTTACGTAGCGGTTACGCTCTGCCAGACACTGCTCCGTGTGCTTCACTCCACGTCCTGTGAGTAGCTACTGCTGTTATCCCCATCTTCCAGATGAAGACACTGAGGTGCAGAGCGTAAGGAACTTGGCCCAAGGTCCCAGAACTGAGATGTATTTCCATGGATTCTGGCGTGAGTTTGTGCCTTCGCTACTACGCTCGGTGGACCATCCAAGTTTCATCTGCGGTTTTCTGGAATTTACTGTGGAGCCTTAGAGTAAATGAGAGAGAGAATGAATAAGAACTTGAGCCTCTTAACACTGCACAGCATCCTCGGGCAGCCATTCCTAAGGACTTTCCTGCCCTGACGCACGGGAGCAGGATGACATGCAGATAGTCACGTTCCAGGAGCAGCCCCAGGGCTGCGTGTAATCTCATGAGCACTGGCTGTGCCTCTACCGCTTCTTCTCAGGAGAGTAAACCAGAATTGAGAGGGGTGGTTACTGTAGTGAACCGTTAAATTTCTCTAGTTCGTGCAAGAAAGTAAATTGTTTGTTTCTTTAACTAGTTACAGGTAGGTAGAAACCCCCCTCATCATCTCTCTGTTGCCATGTACTGGCATCTTCCCCATGGTTGAGAACCACCACGCTGGGGATTTAAGCATGAGTGGGAGGCTGGGCTCGGTAGACCCCAGAGAGTGGCCCCCTTGGAGGAGAACAGAGCCAGAGCTGCTAGCAGGGCTTTCGTTGCTTGCGTTTCCTCGAACATGCCCCTCTTTCTTCTGGAGACCCTGACAGCAGACGCAGACCAAGAAATCCTAGAAGGAAGTGGTTTCTGCGCACCAGCATGCTGGTCTGGCCCGTAAGAGCAGGGACTTATGCAATGACTTAGGTAAATTCTCAGAGACCCCGGGAGGTGCAAACAGTTAACAGGATGGGCTGCTCACCAAAAGGTTGGAGGTTCAAGTGCATCCAGGGGCATCTTGGAAGAAAGGCCTGGCGATCCACTTCCGAAAAATCAGCCGTTGGAAAAAAGTGGAAACAGGCTGCTCTTTATGCCTTGAGCCCGTGGTGTCGGATCAGTCAGCTACTTCAGGGGTGCGATGTCAGTCTGCGGCTTTGCAGAATGAGGGAGCAGGTATCCAACGATGCATTGCTGAGGGAAAAGAAAAGAAAAGCATTCCAGCACAAGTGACTTTCCAAACCGTTCGAAAATGAATTTTCAGACTTGCTAGCAGGAAGTGTACTATGCAGGTGTGACTGGGGGTGGGGGGGATGGGGGTGTGTGCGTGCGTGCGTTTGTTTTTGACCCGCTGTGCTTGGTTTCCGAGTTAAACGTGACATTCATTTTCTTTTGGCATTTATTTTCGTTAGCTCCTGAAACAAAAACCACAGACCCCGGAAAAGCTTCTTGTTACCTCTCAAATGGGTTCCAGAAAGCAGCCCAAAGCTCCCCAGTGGAACAGAAGAGTGGTCTCAGACCCCGCAAAGGGAGGTGAGGCGGAACAGCCCAGGCCAGTCAGGAGCTCAGGCCCGGAGGCCAGGGGCAGCTCTGAGCCTGCAGGATCCCTGACGGTCGGGAAGGCGCCAGCCCCTCCCATGAAGGCCACCAGCACAGAGCGTAAAGAGAAGGGGACCGAGAAAAAGACAAACAGTGGCATTTCCCCAGCGCGAGGAGACGCCAAGCATAAGAAGCAGAAAGCTGAGGCGGCAGCTCCAGCTACACCCACTGAGTGAGTGTCTGTGTCTCTGCCTGGTCGAGGCTGTGGCGGCTGGCACGGCCCTCTCTGCTACGCCGCCTCTGCAGCCTGGGTCTGCCTCAGTGCCACAGTGGGCCTTGTCACTGAGCACTCCCCACTGCCGCCTTCCTGTCCCCTTGCTCTGGAGTCTGTCTGTCGTTACGGGTTTTCCCCTAGAATGTAGGTGCGGTGGGGGTAGGGCTTGTCTCATATGATTCACTGCTGTGTCTTTGGAGCTTAGAACAGAGCTTGCTCTCCGTGGGCCCCCAGTCAGGGTTTGTGGAATGAATGAGTGCCGAGGCCAGGAGCTTGAAACCTTACTGCTTACTGAATACCATGCTTGTCACTCGGGGGTGGGAGGGACAGCAGTTGGTGGCATCTCCAGACGGCTCAGCTGGAGGTGGCACGTTCGTAAGTCAGAGACTGGCTGCGTGTCACGGGTTGAGGACACAGTGAAGGCTGGAAGAGAGACCGTGTGGGTGCCTCCCCTCTGGGTCGTGCCGCCCGCGTGCTCAGCGGGATAGGCTGCCCCTCCCCCCTGAGGCTCAGTCAAGTGGAGCAGACAGATGACACACTGAAATGGCTTTTGTCAGTGTGCTCAGGGTAATGTCGATGCAGGAGGCCTGATGGGAGCAAATGGCAGGGAGAGTGTCTGCCCCGTGGGGTCAGAGAGGACTTTGCAGACAGGACATTTCAGCGGAGGCCAAGAGACAGAATTCACCAAAAAGATGTTTATAGCTGCTTGAGCATCCAGGTATGGGGCTCGTACGCTTCTGTGTGTGTTTTGCTGCCGCTGCTGTTTTAAAAATAATATCGTGTTTTCGGCGAAGGTTTACACAGCAGTTTAGATTGCCTTTTACGTTGCTCGTTGACACTGGTTACGTTCTTCACACGCGCTGACGTTCTCATTATTTCTGGTTGTTCTATTTCCATTCGTCTAGTTTTCCTGCCCCCTTACCTTCCTGTCCTTGTTTTAAAGTAACTGTCGGCCCTTCGGTCTCACAGGTGATCTTCTGAAGGAGCGCAGTCGTCACGGGTGTCAGTTTCCTAAACGATCAGGAACGTGTTGTTTTTGTGAAGACAGAGAAAACGCTAGCAGTCATGGTACCCGCGTGGCGGGCTGGGTTTCTGTTTTACATTCGCTGTCTTTACATGCACTCCCTAAACCTCTGACCGCGCGCCTAATGCTTTTGTGACTAGAAGGGAGTGCGTTTGAGGGAAGGAGAGAGCCAGGTGCCCACGGTCCAGGAGCAGCTGGGCCTGTGGAGCCGGTTGTCGGGACCGCGGTTCCTGGGAGACAACTTACGTCAGCACCTGTACTGGCCAGCACGAGGCAACCCACGCGGCGACCCGCGAGGCGAGCCACGAGGTGACCCACGAGGTCGGAGGTCGGAGCACGTCTTCGTCTGCTTTCAGGGATGACATCTGGTTTGACGATGTTGACCCGGAGGACATGGAGGCTGCCATAGGTCCAGAGGCTGCCAACATCATGAGGAGGAGGCTGGGTCAGCATGAAAGCAGCATCACGCTGGTGAAGGAGCAGGGCTTCAGCGGGTACATGGGGCACTAGGGGAGGGGGGTGCCAGGTGGGCTTAACCTGAAGGGTGAGGGTTGTTAAAGGAAGATGTTTGCCATTGAGCCTCCAGCTGAACTGGGCAAGCACTTCCCTCATCTCCTGTCAGGTTGGGGATCACAGTGATGGGCAGAGTGCTCTTCTGTGAGGCTGCTGCCCATGGGCACCTAGGGGCCTCCCTGAGTCCTGGGCCCCACAGGGCTTATTGAGCAGAGCCTTTGGTCCCGCAGCCTGACCAGAGCCTTGGCCTTGGACTGTGAGATGGTGGGCGTGGGCCCCAAGGGCGAGGAGAGCATCGCTGCCCGCGTGTCCATCGTGAACCGGTGCGGGAAGTGTGTTTACGACAAGTACATCCAGCCGGCAGAGCCCGTGACGGACTACAGGACAGCTGTCAGTGGGATCCGGCCAGAGAACCTCAAGCAGGGTACGTCACGGTGGCTCGTGGGCCCAGAGGGAAGTCTTGGGCCAGGCAGGGTTTCTCCTGTGGTTCCCGTTTCTGTTCAGGAGCGGTCACGTGGCGAGGCCTGACGTCTCGCCTCCCCGGGGTGACTGGTGTCCAGGCGGCAGTCAGGCCCATGTGTATCTGAGGCAGCAGGGCCTCTGGCCAGCTGTCCTTCAGACCAGCACGGGGCTGCGCGTTGCTCTGTGTTATCTGGTGATAGGGCCCGTGTAGGGCGAGGGCAGGATGTGGGTGGTGGGAGAGGGGTCCTGGTGGCCCTCATGGGGTGACCTGGGCGCCATGGGAAGCCCGTCTGGCTCCATGTTAGCAGGCCTTCTTGGCTGTAGCCTTGAGAACGGACTGTAGGAGCGTGAGGTGGAAGCAGGGAGGCCGGGGGAGAGGCTCCTGCAGCCAGGGAGGCGAGAGCTGGCGGTGATGGGGAGGGGGCAGGGTGACCCGATCTGGGGTCCTTCATGACAGCTGAGCCTAGAGGCTGTGCTGATGGAGCAGATGTGGGGGCTGGGAAGTGAGGAATCCAGGGTGGCTGGGAGGTTGGGAACTAGGAAGGTCCCGGAAAGCCTGTGGAACCTCAGTGTGTGTCTCTGGGCCACACGTTTGCTTCTTTCTCTGTGTCTCTTCACGCTGCCTCTGCTTTTGTTCTTCTTGCTTTTTCGGTGGGGCAGGCGGCCTGACAAGGCGGCCCTACAGCTCCTCTGCATTTCTTGGTCCCAGTTTCCAAGTCCGGGAGGGCGGTTCTCACGGATGCTGCCTGGGTCCGGGGCCACTCTCGGTCTGGTCAGCGGGGGGCAGGCTGGGGTGCCAGAGCCCATCCTTTTGGGGGGTGTGGAGGGGTGGAGGTGGGGCAGGGCCACCCCAGGGGGTCCAGCGTGAGAAAGTAGAGCTGCCTCCAGAGCTGGGTCTAGAGCAGAGCTTCCCAAACTCTGGGCAAGGTGTCAGTCTAGTCTTTAATTGCCAGCTGGAAAGGCATAAAGTACGAGCCCTGGTTTTCTGTTGTGAGGTTCCATAGTCAAAACGACCAGTCACTCAGCCTGGGCACGCGGCTAGTGGCCAGAACAGGCACTTTGCAGTTAGGCCCTGGCCTGTCCCACTGGCGACTCACCCTCCATCCAAGTCGGGAGAGACCCCCAGACAGTGCACCCATGCTGGTGTCCCTGAAGCCTTCGCCACCGAGGCCGGGACCCTCCCGCTGCGAGGTGTCACGTGGCAGCCCCAAGGCACCCTCAGATGTGGCCTCGCAGGCCCAGGGGCAGTGACTGTGCCTCTGGGACCCGGCCTTAGATTCCAGGTCAGAACCTTGGCCTGCCTGTCCCCTCAGGTCCCCACCAGAGGCTGGGAGGGCTTCCTTCTCATGAACGGGATCTTTCTAGAGTGTTAGGCCCGCCCTCACTGACACCGCTGCTGAAACATTCCTTTGATTTTCAGGAGAGAAATTTGCCGTCGTCCAGAAGGAAGTGGCAGAAATGCTGAAGGGCAGGATTCTAGTTGGACACGCGCTGCATAACGACTTGAAGGTTGTGGCCCTGGGTACTGGGGTGGCTGGCCATCCCGTGCGTGCTGCCTGCACCTTCAGGGCCTGGGGACTGGGGTGGCTGGCCATCCCGTGCGTGCTGCCTGCACCTTC